TTTTAAAAAATCGTTTCATAGTGTTGCTGAATTTATTTTGGTTAGTTTTTATTGTAGTTTAAGAAAAATCAAAAAACAAATCTAGTGTAATTTACATATTTCATAGGCTAAGTTATAGTAATGCTATTGAACTTGATTCTATGTCTGAGCATATTGACCATATTGCATCTGTTTCTTCTTCTGAATTTTTTAGTTCTCCTAATAGAGTAGATTTTACTTTTTCTATTAGTGTTGTCATTAATTCAAAAAATAAAAACATGGATAATAGAAGCTTAAGGCAATTGGTTGCACCTGATGTTAACCATAAACCTTTGTACATCCAATATCCTGAACTTGATACTGCTTTTGAACTTAAGTCTGAATTAATCCTTTTGCTTCCAAAGTTTCATGGTTTTGCAAGTGAGGACCCTCATAAGTATTTGAAGGAATTCCATGTGGTGTACAGTACAATGAAGCCACAAGGAATTGATGAGGAGCAAATCAAGTTGAGAATTTTTCCATTTTATTTGGATGGTGGAGCTATGGATTGGCTTTACTACCTTTAAACGTCATCCATCAGAAGCTGGAATGACATGCCAAGACTTTTCCTGGTGAAAACGACCACAGTAGTACAATCCTTTTGCCAATACTTACAACCCTGGCTGTAAGGATCACCTCAATCTAAAGTGGAATCAGAACCTGAACTAACGCGGCAAAATTTTCAATAGACTGCACCTCCACAACGAGTGCAACAACAGCCACCCGCCCAATAGCAGAACAGTAGCAGTCCTTCACTGGAAGATTTGGTCAAGCAAATGGAACCAAGCAACTTGCAATTCCAACAGTGGATCGAGTTTACAATTCAGAACCTGCAAATACAAATTGGGCAGTTAGCAACATCAATGAATCGGGTTCAATCTCAGAGTTCCAGCAATTTTCTCCCTTCATAGATAGTTCCAAATCCAAAAGGGAATGTGAATGTCAGCAGTATTACTCTAAGGTCAGGCAAGCAACTAAACGAGCCCAAGCAAGCTGCAGCTGAACCAACACTGGGAAAAAATAAAAAAAGCACATTAGAAGAAAAGCAATGATCAATCTAACATTTCCATTTCTTTACTTTTCTCTTAGAGAACCACTCATTCCAATTCCAAGAAGTTGGCAGCTCTACCCTTCCCTCAGTGAGCCATCAAACCTAAGAAGTAGGCAAAAACAACACAAGAGAAAGAAATCCTAGAGACATTCAAAAAGGTTGAAGTTAACATTCCTCTCTTAGATGCGATCAACCAAATTTCAAAATATGCCAAGTTTCTAAAGGAGGTATGTATCAACAAGAGGCGACTGAGCTAATGAGCGTGAGCTGAAATGTGTTAACCCTCATCCAGCCCATGCTAGAGAAATGCACAGATCCAAGGACGTTCTCTATCCCTTGCATTATTGGTGATTCTAAATATGATGATTGTATGCTAGATTTAGGTGCTTCCATAAATGTCATGCCTGAGTCTGTTTATAAATCTCTTGGTCTTGGTCCCTTGCTTCCTACTGGTGTTGTTATCCAGTTAGCTAATATGAACAATGCTCACCCTGCTAGCATGATTGAAAATGTATTAGTTAGAGTGAATGAATTGATATTTCTTGCTGACTTTTACATTTTAGGGATGAAGGGCGAGTCTCCTAGTAGTTGGCCTCCAATCTTTTTTGGGAGACTTTTCTTGAAAACATCTAGACCAAGATAGATGTGCATGCTAGAACTCTTTCTATGAATTTGGGGATAATATGGTGCATTTCATTATCTTTGATGCCATGAAGCATTCTAGGGTTAAGGACTCAGTTTCATGCATTGATGTGATTCATGACATGGTTGATAATGTTGATACTGAATTGACTGGTGATTCTGCATTACTTGTGAATTTTGTCTTGCCTACTAATACTAGTCCTGAGTGTGCGTTGGATGTTAAATTAGGCAAGACTGATCATTCTTATAATAATTTTGATCCTAACTTTCATGGATCCAAAATGAAATGGGTACCAAAAGTCCTCCTTTTGTTTCAAATATGCAGTGAATTATTCGTAAGGTTGGACAGAAGGATCAACGGAGGAAGAAATGTGCAAAGAGAAGGCCTCCTAAGCTTATTGTGAAGTAGCGAGATAAGCAGACTGGGAAGACATTCACAGCGAATGACCATCATCTCAATTTGTTTCATGAGGGACCTCAGAAGCAACCTGTGGCGATAGAGATTCTGCTCACTGATGCCACTTATCCGCCTTAAGGAGGACAAGGAGTCGTCTACCTCTTTTCTTTATTTTTCCTTTATTTTCATTTTTAACTTCTGCTTTGAGTTTCAATAAGCAGATTTTCCTTTGCTTTTTGATATTGTTGAGCTATACTCAGTATGAACTTAGACTTGTTGCTTGATGGATCACTCTGGTTAGGCTGCATTTTTGACTCTTGGATTACTTGATTTGGTGGTTAATTTTGTGATGCTAATGTGTGACTTTGTATTGACCCTGTGAGATTTTGGGCCTGTATGAAAGGACTTCATCTTCTGCCATTCTTTCTTTCTTGTGTGCTTCTGCTCATAATTGTTGTTCTCTAGAACTTGCTATTGTTCTTTTTGAAATTGCATTTTTCACTTGCATACATACATATGATTGAGGCATTCTTTCTTTCATTTTTCCCACGTTGGCCAGATAGCCAACTCTTACATCATATTTTCTTTAGTTAGCCTCTTTGTGCCTTTTTCTACCATTCTTTTCTTAGCTACATTACATGCCTAAGTGTAAAACTAATTGATCCAGCACCTTAGAAATTTATTGAGCATTGGTTTCACCTTAGTGTTGTGTTTAAATGTGGGGTTGTCCGAGATGTACAACATTTTAAGCATGAGGGGAGCTATTTAGTCTTTGTCATTTGTTACTTAGTCATATATATATATATATATATATATATATATATATATATATATATATATATATATAAGAAGCATAGAAAAAGAAAAATGGAAAAGAAAAAATTGTGTTTCTAATTAGTTCTTATCTTTGTTTTACCCTTGCTTTATTTTTGTTTTTGTTTTAGTTACGTTTCGTTAACTTAGTTCTTAACTAGTGCTCTTTTAAATTTCTTGGGTGTTTAGTCTCTCATTCCTATACTTATGCATACCTTCACCTTGGCCCCATTACAACCTTGAATAAAAAATCCTCTTGATTTGTGCATGCATTTGTTTTTAGTAGTGGAGAAGTAAAATTTGAGCAAACCTATGGTAAGATAATTTTCTTGGGTAAAATTTGAGTGATACACTTATTACCTAATAAACTTGAGAGATTGATTGAGAGCATTTATTGAGAGATCATTTTGCATAATCAGCATTATCAATTGAGATTACTAGGTTCTGCAATTTGAGATGAAGGATTTTCTGTATTGATTAGTTGATCTGTTGAAGCTTTATGATCCATATTCAAACTCTGTATTCTTGGCAATTGTTAGAAGGGATAGGCTAATCTTTTAGTCTTTGCTTTTCTTTTGTCATTTCTTTTATTTGTTTTGAGTTTTGATTTTGCTCAGGAGTGCAAAAAGATAAGCGTGGGAGAATTTGATAATTGATATTTTATATCACTTATTTGTTACTCTTGATTAATATTTTTGAGATTATTTGGAGTTAAATAATGGTCTTTTTGGCTAAATTAGATTTGAGGTTTTTATTGGGTTTAATTTATTTTCGTCTTTAAATTCTATATTTATGTTGCTGAGGTATTTTGATCATAACTCTTGCTACAAGTGTCCCATTAATCCCATTCTTATTGTGTTTTGTAGATAATTCAGAGGGCTACAAATGTTATGCAGACATGAAAGCTCAATTTGAACAAGAAGATAGTCGAAGTTGGAGCCCAAGTCAGATGTCAGATTCTGGAATTTTATTTGATTATTTGGACTTGTAATTGTAATTTAAAACCCAATTCTCATTATCCCAAAACCAATGTTTTGGTTTTGTTTCTGTTGATTTTATTATTATTGGCCACGTTTAGTGGAGCCCTAACCTGGTTTAGATGTGGGTTAAAAGGGCTAGTTTAGGAAACTTCTTGGTAGTCTTTGTTTGGGAGTTTGTACGTTTGACAATTTTCTCTGGATATTCAATTCACGTTTTCTGTTCTTCGTGTTCTTCTTCTTCTTTTCAATTTTTGATTTGACTAAATTAGCCATGTTGGGCTAAGCACTTTGTAATCAACTCAAGGGTTGAGAATTCCATGGTTGAATCCAGAGGACTTGCGCCTCCCCTTGACAAAAATAATTTCTTTTTCCGACTCTGGATGACATCGCGCGATTGTGGGTGTTCAATCTGGGATATGTGATTGCATTTTTGGGAAGAGATTAATCATTAGATTTAGTGTTTAGGTTAATTAACCCAATTACCTCATGTCAATCGAGCTGATATTCTGCGATCGCATGAATTGATGCGCCACATTCGACCAAATGCTAGGCGATTGCCTAGAGAGGGGTTTCCCAAACAAATGTAGGGATTCCGATTTGTTTACGAAATTGGTAATCCTTCGTCCAATAATGAATGTCCATGAAATCTCAACTTCGAGTTGGTTGTTTTAATTACAATTTTAATCTCGATTATTACATTTTATTTTTATTTTTATTCTAATTGAAGAAAAATCCCACCCCCCCTTTTTAATTTTTAAGAAGCGATTTAAACCCTTAAAATTTCCTTGAGAGATGACTCAGGTTTGCCCATTTACTACAAAAATTTATAAACCTGGTTAATTTTATTTGCGTGAGTTCAATAGCTCCCATCATGGAGTAGAAGATCCCAATCTCCATCTGGAATATTTTCTGCCGTTATACGACACTTTGAAGACGAATGGGATTTCAAGAGATGATATATTACTGAGGATTTTTCCTTTTTCATTAAAAAACATAGCTAGGAGCTAGTTACATGCATTACCTCAGGGAAGCATTACTACTTTGGATGATCTATTGACAAAGTTTCTAGGTCGTTTCTTCCCATTATTCCAAGTTAGCTAAGTTGAAGGCTAATATTTCTCGTTATCCTCAGAAGGATAATGAGTCCCTATATGAAGCATGGGAGAGGTTTAAGGGACTACTTAGAAAATGCCCACAACATGGACTAGAGGATTGGGAACATTGATGGGACATAAATTCGTTCCCATCTAAGCCCATTTTGATGGCAAAATACCACACGTTCCCTCATCTGATGAGCAACTTCAGCATGAAAATCCCTTGTTTTACACATTTGTGATAAAAACACAGTGGGGGAATGTGTGGTAACGTATTCCTTTAAAATACATTAAAAGGGGAACGGATTGAGACGCATTTAATGCACCTGCTCCACTCATTTAATGCCTCTGTACACTTTGCAGGAAACGTGGACTTAAAGTCTTCTAAAAGCAGAGGCGGTGCACCACTTAAGCACCAGGAAACGTGAAGAGCAGAGAATCAAGAGTTCTCATTGGCCAAAGAAGAAAGCAAAGCATGGGGGGACTGCAGAAAACGGCTAATCATCAACAAATCCTGTCCCATCCAGCAATTTGCGCAGCTTCTACACTCTGCTGCCACCGCCCCGTCCCTTCAACAAGAACCCAGCTCCAAAGGATTTACAAGACTGCCACTCCTCTTCCACCTATAAATAGGACATCCCACACACAAAAATATCATTGAATCCTAGAGGAATTGAAGTCCTAAAGGAAGAGATCACCTAGTAGTGGTAGTAGCTTAGTTTTATTTAAGTTGTAACTGTAGTTAAGTGACAACCCTTCTTCTCTTTTCTGTATCAACCACGAGCAGCAACCCATCTTCTCCATTTTCTATTTTGTTGTAAACTGTCTTTTAATTTAATATAAGTGTTCTTCTTTTCGTTCCATTCGTTATCTCTGAGCTGAATCTCGGGTCTATGGGATTTCAGTTTAGAATAATTCTGTTTAAAATATCAGCCATGAGCTGAACTATCTGTGGAACGGGTAAACTACAACACTCTTAAAGAACTATTTTCAAAACTCTTGACTGAAGCTTTTTGTATCTCTTTGGCTAAGTAAGCTATATTCATTGTGTATCAATGGAAATTGAACACATACTGAGAAAGGAACTTCCATAAGGAAGGGATTTCAGACAGCTTAGCCATTGGGGGAAGGTAGTGTCATGGCAAAAACACTATTGGTCACCTTAGGAATAAGGGGCCACTTCGTCCACTTTAAGGTTATGTATTGAGTACCTGTTGGAGTCAAGGGTGCCGTAGGAATATGGAAACTTGTGAGCCATCTAGTTCATGAGCTGAGGAATCAGAGTTAACAGATAAGAAGCTGGGACAAAGCCAAAAAGTTCTAGGTCTTGAGCAGAGAAAACAACTATTTAAGAGTGGAGCAGTGAATCCGTTCCTTCTGTTAAACTGTTTTAAAAACCATCACCCTGTTGTCTCTTGATTATAGTTATTTCTGTTTTAGTAGTTTTTACTTTATTTAATCTTGTATCTATCAAACTCCAATGATTATTATCTCACCTTCTTCTAAACAGGAAGGATCACATACATAACACAGCGAGCAATTGTTTGCCATCAGATTGAACCTACTGTTCCTGAGGAACGTTGTCAAGACAGTATGGAACATTTGACCAGCCAGTTCATTTACTAACTTTTCTTCTTATTTTCATTCTTTATAAAACAGTGTAAGACAACATTTAGAGTTCTATCCTCGTGGGAACGATAATCTAAGCCTTAACACACCCATTATTACTTGATGCGTGCACTTGCGCACTTGGGTTGGAAGTAAGGGAACAAATCTGTTTTCTATAGAACAGAGGAACGTCCCCTAACAGAACTTATATTTTTCCATCATCAGCAAACCACCCAACAAACATGCTTATATTTTCCTTGCTGGATGACTCATGCTTCAAGATTGATAATGAATGCTGCAAAAAAATGATCACTAAAATCCATGAGTCCGGAGGAAACGCTTGATTTGCTTGAGTTATTGGAATCCCAAGAGTTTGATAACGCTCCAGTGCAACCTAGGAGAGCAGGGACGATGTAGCTAGAAGGCTATGATGTGTTGTTAGCACAGAATGAGCAAATGATGCAAATGTTAGACAAGTGGCATCAATACTCAAGAGGGGGTATGAATTGAGTTTTATAAAATCTTTTCACAAAATGGCTCCTTTGATATTTTTAAGAATATTTCTTCAATTAAATGATTTGACAAGCAAAATGCTAAGAGTGGGTGTTAGTGTGTGATCAACAAATATAAGCTAATGAACAAATAAACACAATCCAATAATGTAATTTCAAGATAAAAGTAAAGAGTTGAAGGTTAGAGAAATTGCAAACAAGATGTATCCTGGTTCGATCACCACTAACACGACCTACTTCTAGACTGAAGCTACTAGATCAATCTTTCACTAACTATCAAGCTTGAGGGTGCTTGACAAACCACTATAATCTTCCAAGACTTCGGGCTCTTGGATGCCTTTACACTTCACTCCAAATTTTCTAAGGTATTTGGTAACCTCTTAAGTTCAAAGGGTCCACTCCCCTCTCTATTCAAGAAATAAAATGAAGGTGTTAACAATGGCTAAATACTCTCAAAGTACAAATTATACAAGTTAAAGAACTATAGGTGTTGATACTTTCACAAGAATAAAGCTCAAAGAGTGTGTATGATTGAGATGAAAGAGAATGAGCAAATAATATGATTTAAATCAAGAATAATGATCAAGAAGCATTTTAGGTTCAATGTAATAATGATTTCTGCTCTTTGGAAGTTTCACACAAGAGTATATAAAGCCATTTTTTGAAAACTAGCCATTAAAGCTGTTATTTCTGCCCTCTGCATCAGTGGGTAATCGATTACCTCAAAGGGTAATCGATTACCTGAAAAGGTAATCGATTACCAACCCGTTGAAAGGTTGGAATTCGTCCTGAAAATGGTTTTCTTTGTTTCAAATCATTTTCAATCACTTTCAATCTTTTGATAAATACTTAAAATAGGTTTTCATGAATGTGAGATGCTAGGAATAATTTTTAATATTAAATTTGCAATTTAATGCATGTGTTTTGAAAATATTCTTTGAGCTTATTCATGCAAGATAAAAGTTGCCCTCACATTTAAAATATATTACTTGCGAACTCTTTGGACTTAGATTCTTCTCTTGAAGCTTAAGTCTTGATCTTCTTTATGCTTTGTCTATTGTCTTGATGGACTTCACATTGGTTTGTTGATCTTTTAGACATTTTTTCGATTGATGTAAGTTGTAATGCTTGAATTCTTGATCTTCTATATGCTTTGTCCATTGTCTTGATGGACTTCACATTGGTTTGTTGATCTTTTAGACATTTTTTCGATTGTTGTAAGTTGTAATGCTTGAAGTCTTGATCTTCTATACTTGTTTGTTATCATCAAAATCCTTGTATCTTAATTCTTCATTTGAGTGCATTGGTTCCACAACAAATGCACAAGAAACAGCAACAACATCTGGAAACTCTCACAAAGCAAATTTGCAACATTCCAAGTCTCTACCGTCAATACTCCACTAGTAGTCTGCAAAGTGTATGGAGATGAGCAAACTAGTGGTGAATGTGATATTAGCGGAGCACCAAAGTTAGCTCAGGTAAATTACATGGGTAATGCTCAGAGGATCAAAATAACTCATATAGCAACATATATAATCCTAGGTGGAAGAATCAGTCCAGTTTTTCCTAGAAGCCACAACCTCTACAGCAACAGGAACAAAAAATGCATAAAAAATCTTCTTATTTTGCCTTAGAGAATACACACTTGCAATTGACCTAGTAGGTAAAGAGCTTTATACAAGAGACCCAGTCCTTATTCCAGAACTAGGAGGCATCTAAGGAACCAATAAGCTTCTTTTTGAAACCTCGAGAATCAGATTGGGCAATTGGCGAAGCAGATGACTGAAAGAGTTCAAGGCACCTTTCCAGGAGACACTATGATCAACCCAAATGTGCACTGCAATACAAGTACCACCAAAAGTGGAAAGGTGATAACTCCTCACCCTAGTCATGATGCAAAGAATTCAAGTGCTTGCAAAGCGAAATTCAAGGGAAAGGAGCAAGTAGAGGACAATGATGAAGGAGATAAAAGAGACAGATACTACTAAGAAGAAAAATGCAAGGGATAGAGGTGTTAATGAGTACAAACCACCAGAGCCCAATCCATATGCTCGAGAACCTTACCCATAGAGGATTAAGCAATAAAAGCAGAGGAACCAATTTTCTAAGTTTTTAGATATCTTTAAGAAATTGCACATTAACATTCCTTTTACGAAAAATCTAGAGCAAATGCCTTCTTATGCCAAGTTCCAAAAGAGATTTTGTCAAAGAAGCTAAAGGTCACATAGGATGAATCTATTGCTTTAACAGAGGAGTGTAATTCAATCATAAAAAGAAAGTTGCCTATAAAATTACAGGATCCTGGAAGCTTTAGTATTCCCTGCACAATTGGCACAGTGACAGTTGATAAAGTCTTATGTGATCTTGGTACCAACATTAATATAATGTCATTATCCATAATGAAAAAGCTGAGAATTATAGACGCAAAGCCAACTAGGACAATATTGCAACTGGCTGACTGCTCCAAAAAGCAAGCTTATGGCATTATAGAGGATATACTAATTAAGGTAGACAATTTTATCATTCTCGTTGAATTTTTTATCCTTGATATAAAGGAAGATGCTACGGTTCCTATGATCTTCAGGAGACCTTTCTTAGCAACCATAAGAGCGTTAATTGATTTACCTAAGGATGAGTGTGTAACAGCCTGTTGTACACCGGTATCGTTAACATTAATTATGATATTAAGCGCAGTTACAATCACAGCGATTCATTTATAAAATGCGAGTAAACTTTTTCCATTTACTACGCGAACCTTTAAAACAATAAAAACGTAATAATTAAAAGCTGTGACCGTTCCTCAGATGCTCAATATGCTCCTCCTCACTTTTAGAATAAATCAAGATATCGTCGATGAACACAATTACAAACTGATCCAAATACGGTTTAAAAATACGATTCATATAGTCCATGAACACCGCCGGGGCATTAGTAAGCCCAAAAGGAATCACCTGGTACTCGTAGTGTCCGTATCTAGAACGAAATGCCGTTT